TGTTGAATTCTATGTAAACAAGTACAACATAGATATTTTTTGCCTGAGCGAAACTTTCTCTCAGGAGTCGTATGTAGTGAAGAAAAACATTCTAAATTTCAACATTATAAAAAAAAATAGAAATGATGGATATGGGGGGGGTGGCCATTGGCCTTAGAAAGTCCATTAAATTCCGTAAGATAAATTTTGATACTAATCATGACATATGTATTGTTCAAACTTGTAACCTTGCTCGAAACTTGGTAATATGTGCTGTGTACTTTGAGCCTTCCTTAAGCGTTGGGGGTTTTAAGGAAGCAATATTGAAACTTTTTACAGCATTGGAAGTATATCAGAACGTTTTGATATGTGGGGACTTTAACGCTAGGACACCTGAGTGGGGAGATGTTATTGAATCTAGTAGAGGCTACTTTTTTAGAAACTTTGTAAATAGCTCAAGTTTTACCTGTTTAAACAACGGGTCAATAACCTTCAAAGCGAACTTAGGAGCTGGTAGGGGCTCTGTATTGGACCTAACTCTCACTAACATTGCAACAAAGACAACGTGGGAAGTGGTCCCCTGTCACTACCCCATTGTGATACACTTAGATAAGATCGAAAAAAGAAATCCTGTTTTCCTTGCTAAAAAACATCTGTTCAACAACTTAGGCACTACCAAGCTGGACACTAACATCAACCAAATTGAGAAAACGATATCAAGCGAAATAAAAAATTCCACTTTCACTGTCAAGGATACGCGACGCCCCAAGTCCTGGTAGCATGAAGGTTTGGAAAAACTGTTCAGGCTACAACTAGCTGCAAATAAAAAGTGCAACAAGTATCCCACGGCTCAAAACTTTAAGGAAGCGACTGAAGCCAAGGAAAACTGGAAAAACGCGGCAGAAGAAGCTAAAAAGGAAAACTACAGCAAAAATCTTAACTCACTCAATAGTCACCCCAACACCAGAGAGGCATGGAAATTCTTAAAAAATATTAAAAATGCGGGATCTTCGGAACCCAAACAACAGTGGGACGACACGAACAATAGAGTGTACTTGCAGCATCTGAAAAATCAGGTTAGACAAGATGCAAATACCAATAATAATGAAATCGCGCAAAAAGTGGATGTCCTGGAGTCCTGGGTGCCTGCTTTTGGGGAAGAGGAACTGAAAAATGTTCTAAAAAAGAAAACGAAAAGGTCAGCAGGGGGGTGTGATCAGATCACATACGAAATGCTACGAGCTCTGTCGGAAACGGCGCAAAAAAACCTACTAATTTCTTTTAATGATGCTTTTCAAAATTGTAAAATTGATGACTCACTCCGTAGAATAAGGGTGGTACCGATACCCAAGGCGGACAAGGACGTAAGTGATTATAAGAATTTTCGACCGATATCTCTGATATCTGTTCTCATAAAGAAAATAAATCTCATGGTCAAGGGTAGACTAGAGGAATTTCTAAACAATAAAAATTCATATCCAGACAGAAGCTATGCTTATCGAAAAGGTAAATCTGCTGCCATGTGCATTAATGAATTCCTACACAAAGTTGCTAATATTAAACATGCAGGGCAAAAGGCTGTGGTCCTGACCCTGGACATAAGCAACGCCTATAATTGTGTGTCTTTGAACAAACTACATACTATGTTAGCGGAACTGGAATTACCTGACCCATATAATAACTGGATTATGGACTTTTTAAAAAAAAGAATCTTACTTCTTGGCAACGAATCGATAGTGGTTGAGGATGGCCTACCACAGGGTAGCTGTCTCTCGCCACTACTCTTCAAGGTGTACACAAAAGAACTTCATAGTATTGAGGACTCAGTGACAGACGTGTATCAGTTTGCGGACGATTTCTTGATTTTAGCACATGGGGACAACTGCGACTTGGTGGTTTCAAACCTTGAACGGATGGTTAAAAATTTCAGTGAGATATGCACTAAATTAAATTTGTCCTTTAATATTCAAAAAACCAAACTTATGTACCTAGCCCGAGGCAGCAAGAAAAATATCAACATGAAAATAAACGACTTTCAGATTGAACAGGTCAGACAAATAAAATTTATTGGTAGAACTATCAACGCATCAATAACGGTTGGGCCTCACTTTGAAGGGCTAGTTAAGGTAACAAAGAAAAATTCAAACTTTTTAAAATGCCTTACCCTGGTAAAAGCAGGTATAACACCAAAAGTGGCGGTGAACCTATACAAAAGCTTCATCAGGTCAAAGGTTGAATATGCAAAGACTACGGCTGCTAAGATACCAAAAACAATAAACAAAAAAATTATGACATTCCAAAACTCCACCCTACGCAGATGTCTAGGCCTCACACCCTCAACTCCGGTACACACTATATATATTTTAGCAAATGAGTTTGAGCCCCCCGAAAGGGGAAAATATCTTACAAGCAAGGAGTTAGTGAAATTAATGTTTAATAACCCAGAATTGTTCAACAGCTTAGAAAAGAACAAACTGCCAGAATCCAGCTATAGTGCAATCTACCATGAATTTAAAGACACTTTTGACAGAATTGATACAGACTCCACTTTTAAAAAGAGCAATGGTCTAACAGTATTAGGAAGAACTGGGCTAGGGAAAAAAGAAACATCTAAAGAACAATTCAGGGCGGTATACAATCAAAAAATAGACTTTAAAAAAAAAAACAATTTCACAATCTTTGCTACCGATGCCTCGGGAGGCGAAACAGCCATGGGATGTGGTGTATATAATGCCTCACAGAACCATAACTTTTTCTTTAAAATTAATTTTAAAACCTCCTCAGCTTTTGCAGAAATATGGGCCATTGCCAAGGCAGTTGATATTGCTCTTGAAGATGGCTTAAAAAGGATTGCAATTTTTACGGACAGCTTAGTGGCCTGCACCTGGCTCCAAAAAGAAAAATCCAACAATTACATCGTAGCCCGCATAAACAGACGTTTAACTGAGGGGGAGATTAAATGCGTCCTGATTTGGGCTCCCAGTATTGTGGGAGTACAAATAAATGAACTGGTAGACGATATGTCTAAAACTGCTATTGAAGTGGGTGCTTCTTTAGATGTGGCACTGACCCCAGAAGAGGCAATTAGAGAAGTCAATGAAAAACTAAAAGCAAACTGGAATGATAGGTACCGCCAAAATGCAAGAGAAAAGGGTAAGCTTTTTGCTGAATATTTCCCTGAAATCCCAAAAACTCCGTGGTATACCAACTCCCAATTGGAAGCCAGAGACATAAAAACCATTAACAGATTACTGACTGGACACACTTATGACAGGGTCAGAGCTGCCAGACTACCGACAACTACCTTCACGCTATCTTTGAATGTAGAAAACACAGCTCCAAAAGGGAAAAATATGATATTTTTAAAAAATTTAATGATCTCAAATGTATGTTAAAAACACGTAACACCAAAACACTCTTAGAACTATGTGAATTTATTAGAGAAGCTGAAATAAGCATATAAAAATCAAATAAGTACATACATGTATCGATATATAAAAACACTCACCAAAAAAAAAAAACCTACCCGCACAAAGACAGAATAATTATTCAAGCACTTTTTAGTGCTAAAAATCAGCATTTTTTAATGCTAAATAAACTCTACAACGAATCTTGAGCAAGTCGCACACTCGTAAAGCCAACACGCTGTCATTGCATATACAGATTGTCCCTTTGGCCACCTACAAATGGAAAAAATACACAAACGCTACAAAAACTTGTCAACCAAGGCGTCAATCCCTGAGCAAATTCATTGGCCATTCGTTTAATTAAAGGCGTACAAACAGAACCAGTTAGAGCAACTCTCAACGTTAAACAATAACCTTTTTGGAGCCATCGCTTCAACACTCTGGTTACACCTGAAATTTGGAAGCTGATATCAAAAAACTATATACATAAAGGAGTCGTAATCGAATTCATATCCACAAGCAATTTTTGACAACGAGTAATTACCCTGGCAGTGTGAGGAAGTAAACTCAGCCAAAATCTCGCAAAGTGCAAAAAAAAAAAAAAAAATGAACGTTTGTTTCATAATAATTTTCATTAACAAATTGCGACAAATAAGTTTGAACTATAGGAATAAAACAACTAATAACTAATAGTGTAACGTGTAAACTAAACATAAACATACAAATTAAGATATTAAGCGGCTGTTTTAAGGCATAATAAGAGTAATCAGGGTACGTATATTTCGGAAATTTGCAACAAATACCATATTTCCAACCGACATTATTGTTAAATTAGCGCACAGATTTAGTAAATTAAATTTTTGTAATAAAGCGTGAACTGTTGTCTACAAGTATGTGTAAAAGGTTTTTGATTCGATTCACGCGTTTGGGCTACAGCAACCCAAAATCGTACAAATTCATAAACAGTACCCAAAGTGTATTTCCGATTAATATTGTTAATGAATTAGTGCGCGGGAACTTAAAATCTGTGTTTTAAATTAAAGTTCCATCTTTTAACTACACGGGTAAGTTGAAAGATTTTAATTTAGATCGCGCACATAGCATGAGAGTACCCTTTGCTTGGTCCAGTTGCCACAGTGAATTTTGGAACCCAGATATTTAATAAACTAGTGCTCCGGAACTTTAAATATTAGTGTTAAACTAACCCTGCTAACTAACTAAACCTGCAACATGCAATTAATATATAACAAAGCAAAGCACCACCACATCACACAACGCACAAATTTGAATTCATAGGCAAAGTGGCCGCCCAAAAGTTACTTATATGTCGAGCACAACATGCACAAAGGTTAGTACCTAACTTAATTTTCCATAAAATATATCAACTAACTGAGGTTTTAATAATTCGATTAGAGCCTCGGCGAGAAATTCTATATTATGCATTTAATTTTTGTAATCAAATCTTCGGCCTTTTGTTGCGAAAATGTAATGAAATATTTGAAACATCCAACTTCTACGTGCTGTTTACTTACTTGGATTTACGCCGTTTACCTCGGGCGCCATTAATATTAACAAACAAATTGCCAAGGAATCTGCTACCGAGGGTGATCAATTTTTTGCACGAATTATGTAAATTCTTGATTTACAAGAATGCTATGAAAGGAATCAATCAAGCCTGCTAGTACGCGAAAATTCGTTTACATTGGAAGAGCTGAACGGCGCAATGGAGCAGGCTCTATGTAATTTGCACAGTGATGAAGAAGATAACAGTGAAAACATTTCGGTAAATGGCACAAATACAGAAGAACCATTTAAAGACATCAAATCAGCGAAAACCGCCTGTATTGAAGATGCGCAAATCTCATTACTATCGAAGAGGAGGAAGGAACTTGAAGCCAGAAAGAATGTGAAAAAATTGTACAATGCAAAATTGGAAGTAAGTTGTCGATCGGAAAGTGGAAACTTTTCCTTAATATACCATTAAAATCTTTGATTTATATTTGCTGGGCAGGAAATTCTGAAATTTGTAGATACGAAACTATACATAGAAGTGCGTCCGAGATATCTTATGCCGGACACAAATTGTTTTATTGATTGCCTCGACGACTTTGAAAAACTTATTCGGGATTTCAAACGTTACATACTTGTTATTCTGCTCACAGGTAAGGCTTTCGCTTATTTTTTATTGCTACAATTATTAAATTATATAAATAAATTCGTGTACAGGTGCGCCACAACGAATGGGTCATTTATTAACGCATCGTTATTTGCATTAGCTGAAGAGGAAAATGTTTCGAATGATGATAAAATTTTGGCAACTGCTGTGGCACTCTCAAAACCCATGAGCACAGAACAGAACAGAACAGAACAAAGGTAAAGTTCACATTAAACCTGTAGGCTACCAATGCTTTAATCTTCGAATAAATAAATTTAAGCGAAAGGTATACAATTTTAAGAAAAATCATTTGCTTGAAACTCACTTTCTTATACTACAATTGAATTTATGTATATATGTACTACAGTTCTCATTTTCATTCTTTTACATACACACATGAATGAAAGTATCAAAATAAGCTTGAAAAGTTAAGTAGTGACATAAACAGAAGGAATAAAAATACAAATATTTAAAATATGATTATATCATAAAACCAGTCTTTATTTTAAAGGGAAAATAACTAAAAAATATATACACATTCTTGTATTTCACTTAAAAAAAGAAAACAATTAAGGTAAAAATAAAACAATTCATCGCAAAAAAAACAAAACTTATGTACTACACGCTACATATCTATATACATATATACAGTGGCGCTCACCTTAATAGCACACTTTTATTTTTTACAATTTTCACACTGTTTTACGTGATAAATTTTTTTCGTTAATTGTTTATAAAAATATAGTGGATTCTATAACATAAACCATATAGTATATATCACGTAAAACATTGTGAAAATTGTGAAACATAAAAGTGTACTATTAAGGTGAGCGCCACTGTCCATCTAACGTAAATTTTAAAGTAAGAAATAGAGGTACATGAGTCTCAAATGTTACAGTCGGCGAGCTTTCGCTTCCATCACCACCAGTAAATGTAGTTCCAGAAAGGAGACGTACTGGAAAGAAGCCGAAAGCATCCTCCGACGTTCTGCAAGCTGAACTAAAGATTCAGCAAGCCTTATAAG